AAAGTCTATGGTTCTCTTCACCTGAAGAAGACAGGGACTTAATTACTAGTTTTCTTCCTCTGCCACAGGCAAATAGTAAGACTATCCTCTCCAGCCTCCAGGCAATTAATATGCCGATTGAGCATTGTTTCTGGCTTCCCTTCTTGTCTTTCTCCATTAATTGGGCAGCATTTTCATGTTTTAATTCAACACATAATTTTGCCATATCAGTCACCCAAACCTGCTCAAACTTCACTTGCCATGATAGCTTTTAACCTCTTATTCATTACCATAATTCCCTGTTTTATATTACAGACTGGTCAGCTTTTAGCTTAAATGCAAGGGGCAGAAAAGAGTTTTAAAAGCTGTAAATCTCAGAGGCTAAGGAATGGGGTGAACACGAAGAAAATGGTGAATGTGTCAAGCCTGGCTGTAAAAGCAGATCGACGACATGTGGTGCAATTTGTCCAGAGAAATACTCCAGCCCCACCTCTCCACCACTTCGGAGTCACTATTAAACTGGGAAAATGTCAGAGTCACTTTCCAAGGCACTGTGTGGGGCTGAGGGTTGACTCTGAGGCAGTCAGGTTAAAATGGACTCGAACATTCTCATTTTTAACTTTGAAACTAAAGCCTAGAAATTCTATACTAGGGACACCTGAATGGCTCAGGGGTTGACCATCTGCCTTTGGCTCACACCGTGTTCCTGGGATCAAGTCCCACATCAGGCTCCCTTTGCCTATGTCTCTGCCTCTCTTTGTCTCTCATGAATAAATAAATAAAATATTTTTTTAAATAAATTCTATAGCAGGTTAATCTCTATAATCAATTTGAAATGGAAAATATGCTGTAAAGAAAGCAATACAATTGTTTTGAAATGGCCCAGGTTTACAATGAGACAATCTATATTTACACTCTTGTCATTTTGTTTAAAAGTTGCAGCAGGTTCCACTTAACTTTATTTCTTCCTCAAAATGTTCACTATCTCTGGACCATTGATGGACTTTAAAACCAGAGACTGGTTTTCTTGTTTTTGTTTGTGTGTGTGTGTGTGTGTGTGTGTGTTTGCTTTTTAGTAATTTTTCTGTTTCATTTTGATTTGTTTTTGCTCACAAATAAACACTGGAGTTGGTAGGCACTGTGGCCCACCAAATGTTGGATCTGTTTAAGCACCTTTATGTCACCTGCCTTGACCCTCTTGGGAGTGACTCAGTGGAAGATTGAAGGGGAACCAGGACACAAGTGGATTTCAGAAAGCTCCAGGTGACTCAGGAGAACCTGGAGGACCATGAGGCAGGCACATGTCTGAACCGTCACCAAGCTAGCAACCCACCAGTGCCAATGCCACTGCTCAATCCTTCCTTCAACAAATCTTCCTTCAACAAATCTTCCTTCAAAAAATCTTTTGCACCACATCCTAGAAGATTGAAAACTTCTGCTAAAAAATTTCAAAAAGTCTAGGGCTCCTAGGCAGCTCAATCAGATCAGTGTCTGACTCTTGATTTCAGCTCAGGTCATTATCTCAGGGTCATGGGATTGAGCCCTGCACTGGACTCCACACTCAGCACAGAGTCTGCTTGAGATTCTTTCTCTCTTTATGCCCCTTCCCCTACTTGCACTCACTTTCTCTCTATAATAAAATAAAAATATAATCTTTACAAAAAGTTTGTTTTGAAAACATATATGTATACTGAATCTTACTAGCCAAATTTCTTTCTCTTGAATTGTATAATTTTAGTTGCAAATGTATGGGGATCTATTGTTGCCACACAGAAAAATCTCAAAATTAATAGTAACAATAATATCTAACATTTGAGTGTTCAGAAAAGACCTAGGTATCAGATAAACACTGTTGCTGTTGCTGACCGTCATGATGACCCTATAAGTTGGTCAGGACCCCACTTGCATGGATAGAAAGCCCAATTTCACAAGCATATTCATTGCCCAAGGTCCCATAGCTAGCAAACTCTCTGGTTCAGCAAGCCCTGAATTTGCAACTCGAAGCTGGTGTTCCTTTTCTCATGTCAAACTGCCTGCAAACGGAAGCTTCACTGATGAGAATTTCCTCAGAGAGGCCATGTAGGACTTTAAATTACTGGCATCAAGGTGTTAACCAAAAACAAAATATGAAACAGGTCTTAAGAGACAGTTATGACTCATTCACACTGTCAAAGAGTTGCCTCATGCAAAAAGGTATTTCCCAACCATGGGGAGATAAAATAACTGAGCCTTAAAATTACAACAAAGAAGATGAAATGAGAAGAAAATAAGTGAGAAATTTAAAGTGAGAAGGAAGAGTACATAATAAGCCTGTGCTATGAATATGCCAGCAGCACCTCCTCTTTCACTCTGAGAAGCAGTATATATTTTTAGGGTAGGTTTCACCCCACCTGGAGGTTGACTGCAGGGTAATACTGTATAGCCAGCTCCCAAGAGATGCTTTTGTTATTTTTATACATCAGGAGAGGAAAAAGGAAAAGGATACCAACAAGATCCTTTAATATCCATGAAGAGGAAGGACATCATGACCTCCAGGACAGGTACATATGTAAGTTACAAACAGGAAATAGCTAAAATAAATGAATACTCCAATGACAAAACGTGGAAGAAAAGGGACATCTTATTTTTTGTGGCTGTGTAGAAACTTAACACTCATCTGGAAAAGCATTTCCTATTATGTCAAGGAAACGTGACAGCACAGTGATGTGTGAAATGAGAAGGGCATTATTCTTTGCACCTACTAAAATAATACATTGGCCATTCATCACTGGAAGCCCAAATCCCCATCACTCAGATAATGCTTTGGGACACAGAGTTCTCTGCACATTTGTGCATTTCCGCAACTTATTCTTTGCTCTATGGCCTAGCACAAAGTTTCTAATCCTGCTGCCATGGGTGTGGTAGGGCACTGGTATGTCACAGTGGTGACAAGTGTCAGAGGTATAGGGAAATGTCTAAATTATCTCATTTACCCTGTGTAGGCACAAGAAGGAGAGATGAGACCAGGCTACAGTCATCAGATAGGCATTATCTGCAGGATGACCAGGGGAAGACCTCCTGCAGGAGCCGGAGGGTGTGACATGGTCCAGTTGGCTACCCCACAGCACCAACCTGGCCCATGTGGTTGCCAATGAAGCAATGTCTGCCACCTGTGGGATGAATACAGTGCTGGGGTTAAGCGGGCTGCACAAAGCAATGCATCCAGGGTTATGTCATATACTAATGAGCTGAGGTCTCAACTGGTGACATGCTGTTCCCCTGGAGGGTGTCTGGATATGTATGATGGAATGTGGATGTGTTGTGTGTATATTTTTCACACACTAACTGGGAAAAGCAACGGGTATCAGGTGGATGAGATTTACTAAACATCCTGCAACATGCTAGACAGTCTGACGGAACACGGTGTCTCCATTGAGAAACACAGCAGGAATGTTCCATGGGTACCACTCCCCACTCATCCATCTCAGGAGAGCTGCTGATGAGAGATGGAGTGATGAGAGCAAGAAGAGCTAGCACTCTGTGTGCCAGACACTGTGCTCAGTATTTTACCCAGAAAAAAAAACAGTGCACAAATACTGGGTTAGCTGGGTCTCACCCCATTTCTGCCTGTAAGTACCCCACAAATGGAAAAATATTAACTTCTCTGGGCCTCTGCATTTCCTTGTCAGTGAAACGAAGGGGTTCTATTAAATGAGTCATTTTCAATTTTTAGCTTTTGGCAATAAGAGTTTCCTTCAGTTAGAATCCCAATAGAGAATAGAGGTAAAATTTGAGATGCTCTGGCCTCAGGACAGAAGTTTTAGCAGATCTCCAATTCTCCAAGGGTTGAGCCTCAGGCATCCCCCTGAACTCAGGGTTCCAGAGACCTTGGTATGAAAAAGCTGTTGAGAGCCCTTTAAATGCATATATCCTAGATTTAAGATTTGTGTACAAATTATATGTATATGGGATGAACAAAAGTAGTGATTTGATGGAAAGATACTGGGTCTTGGAAAGCACAGAATCCTAGCCCTGGCACTTGCTGCTCTGATGTTCATGGCCAAGTCATTTGTAAGCCTCTTGCACTCTTTTCCCTACTCCACAAAATAGGAATAATGCTGCTAACTTGCAGGGCTATTTGAAAGATCAGAGATGAGCTTTCCACTACTGTCTCCATGGTACTTCCCATGGGCCAGCCACAGCGCAGGCACAATTTCATTTAATAGTACTGCACAATAAGGAAGCTATAATATTCATGGTATTGCTTGATATTTATGGGTGAGTCCCTCAATTAAGGACATTGAAAATTTTCCCATCATCCTGAGACACCTAGCTTCATATTCTTACTACATTATATGGTATTTTGCTAAGTAGCAAAACCAAGATTATAGGGAACACTGGAAATCTATACAGTTGATTACTGAACAATGCAGGGGTCAGTTGTTCTGAAGTCCTGGCACAGTCCAAAATCTGCATCTAACTTATCACTCCCCCAAAACTCTACTACTGGATAGCCCCCTGTTGACCAGTGGCCTTGCTAATAATATCAACAGTTAACACATATTTTGTAGGTCATCTGTATTCTCACAATAAAATTAGCTAGGGAAAAGAAAGCGTTACTTAAAAAAAAATAATAACAAAGAGAAAATTCATTTAAAGTACTGTACTTCTCAGAAAAAAAAAATCGCATATAAGTGAACCAGTGCTATTTCCTAAATAGCTTGAGAGGGCTCAGTATCTTTTTTTCCCCCATTTTTTTTAATTTAAATTCACTTTGCCAACATATATATACACAGCATCTTTTTAAGGAGGATACCCAACACATACTATTTTCTTCTGTTTTAATCAATGGAAAATGACATTTACATGTTAAAAGAAAAATTCTTCCCTAGATTAAGGTTCAGCTAACTTATGGCTCCCGGGGTGCGGGTGTGAGGTTTCACTCTATGCTCAAACAGATCAAGACATCCTCTCTGCCCAGCCACATGCAGAAATAAGCTCCACACACATTTCCCACTAGTTAGAAAGCAGAGCAGACTCACGTGCCCAGACGCTCCTCGTGCTTTCTGCTGTCCTTTCCCCACACTTCAATGTCCAAAATGCCCATCCTGTCAGAGAAGTAGTGAAAGTCAAACTGTTCCCGCCACTGCGGATTTGCACTCTTACACAGTGTCTAGAAAACATGCAGTTATAATATTTATTTTCTTAAAATGCCATTCATTGCTACAGCAGCTACATACATTCATTTCATTTCTAAACTGCGGGAGATGGTGATGGGATGCCTCTCCCTTAGAAAGTTAAACTTTCCGTTTTGGAACGAAAGGGGCTTGGAGGTTTCAAGGAATTGGCAAAACCGCCCTAACCCATTTAGCTCACCCACAGATTCAGTAATTTATTCAGCAAGTTAGAGAGTAACCCCACAAGAATTACCCCACAAGGAACCATAAATTATATATATATTATAGACAGATAAAACATATCTCAGTAGACATTTACAGTGGCTCTCTTACAAAAGATACTACTAATTGGCTAATCGAATGCAAGTAAGTAACATTTTTATTAGCACATCCATTCAGTGCTGGCTTAAGAAGTATATAAATTAGCAGTCAGAGGTGTTCATTAACATCTGTCCGATGCCTTGCACGAGAAACCCATAACTTGTGCATTGCTGCCTGTTTTAAAACCTGAGTTTACTGAATCCAGTCACTTGAGCGAAAGAAAGCTAAAGCCCCACTGCTGCCACACTGAAAACGTAACCAGCCCCGTTTGAAAACTCTGCCAAGTGTTTCTATGTTCTCCCAGTGACTGCGAACCGCTTATGTGTTTGATCCATTAAAAATGCTTTTTTTCGCTTTTGTTTCATTTACCTAGAGATTGAATTTGTAAATAAAAATGAGCAAGAATGCCAGGCACTGACAATCAGGCTCTAAAAAGACTGCATCAACTATTAAATCTGAGGGTCACACTATTCCTGCAAGGGAAAATGGGGACAACTCAGACATCGGCTGTAGCCAGCATCATGTAGTATCATTTAAGCTCTTTCTCACACTGAGCTTAATATATCAGATCACAGAATTTAGAAACCATGGGGTGAAAAATATTCGACCACAAATTAAATGCGATATTCCCCAAGGGGGACTGTAGCAAATACTAGACTAATTCTGCACTTCACCTTAGTCCAAAGGGCTAAGTGTACTTAGCGATGAATAATTTTTCTATAAATCCTTAGCCTGACCCTGGCAGATGTGCTCACTCTGGGTACATTCGCTGTGAGGTAAAGCCTGAAACTACCTGATTAGAAGAATCACCTGCCTAATTCTGCTGTAACTCGCCCAGAATTTTTCACATTTCTCCAGAATGATTCTCCGGTGTGAGCTTCAATTCTTTACTCGTGTGGTGGAGTAAGTGATGTTTAATGTTTGATTCTGCACTGAAGAGCGTGCAGCAGAGACCACCTCTTGCTCTCTAAATTATTTTCCAACTGCGTCTGTCTGCATGTGTTATGTCCTCTACACTACAAGCCCAAATTGCAAATATCCTTGGGTCTATTTTCAAAATCTTCCACCAATGTTTGGTTTGGTTTTTTTTTTTTTTTCTATGTGGCTTTTGGCAAGTGACTTAACTTTCAAGTACCCTAGTTCCCCCAATCCATAAAACCGAGAAAATATTCCTGTCTGACTGTTATGTAAAACAAATTCATTACCATGGTTTGGAGACTATGGTTTTTGAAATAAAAACCACACCAAATTACTAAGATTAAAAATTAAGTGGAATTTGTTTCAGGAGAGTAAGATGATTGAGTTTTAAAGGCAGCTAAAAAATGCCATTACTTTTATTCAAAACAAATCTCTAACACTTCAGTTTAAAAAAAAATCACAGCAAAAACAGCATTAAATATCTATTTTTTGTGTTAATACTAACAAGTAAGAGAAAGCAGAGAGTATATGATTTTGAAAATATTTTTCGTTATCTCGAATGTTTTCACCCAAATATAATATATTACATGATTTTATTTTTGTAGGACTTTGAAAATATTTAGTTATCCCTTTCCTGTAATCTATGAAACAATGTTTGCTTATTTTCAAAACGAAAATAAATCATGCATCCAAAATCTATTATTTAATAAGCCTTCTCTAGCTCCAGTTACTATATTAAAATAAATTATGCTAAGCAACCCAAAAGGTATATTAATTGACTGCAGCTATACAACTATTTTGTTGTCTGGAATGCTCCTAATAAAGTTACGAGGGCAAAAAATAAATTTCTCCTCTTTTTATGAAATTTAGAGTGGAAAACATTTTTTTTTCAGTTTCTTTATTGTGAAAGATCTTTTTCTTCTTAAGGAATTGACAGAACTTACCTTACTTTTATACCTCTGATCTCCCAGTTTTAACTGGACAAACATCTCTGTCATGCTTCCTCCTGAGACATTCTTCCCTTCCAACAACGTTATACTTATAATCCCGTTCCAGAGTTGGTTCTTTTTCAAGGACTCTGAGAGCCGCAGGTTACGTATCAAAGAGGACTAAAACAAAGAATGAAGATGACATATAAACTTGCTGATAATTCTTGAGTGTGACTTTGGTGATCACAGGAATTCCAGCTTTCAATATGGGATTATGAATAGCACTCCCTGACTGGTGAAAGTGTTATTAGTCTTCATTGATTTTGCAAACCTGCAAGCACAGTTATATGATTTCCTCCACAAGCACTGGACTTGTAACAATATAGTGAAGGATGATTGGGAGAAACACTTGGATTTGGCACTGGCCTACTATACTCCCACCCAGATGTGCTCCTTGGTAGGAATTCCTCATCTGGGCCTTCAGTTATTTTAATAGTAGGAAGGGAAGAAAGGCATTCTGGGAAACCGAGAGAGAAGCATAAGGCATTGCTTTGCAGGGAAGCAAAATACCTCTGGGTATTTAGAAGTAATAGTTTTGAATTTATCCTTCACACTCAAATCTGTCCACACTTCCCTGTATTCCTTGGGCTACTACTAAAAAGCCCAACAGCACTGTGAGAGTCACAACTCCACATACAGCCTGCAATCAGCTAGCCAGCCAAATAAGCTTTGCAGATCTGCAGGGAAGAGGAAGATGTATAAAGCATTTAGCACTGTGCCTGGGATCCAGTAGAGATTCAGTAACTGTTAACTTATTTTCTTCCTTTTCTAAATTATTATACTCATGCACACTCACACACATCTTAAATAGAATATAGAAAAAAGCAAACATCCCCTATTATTATTTTTTATTCCCTATTATTAAATTATAAAGACAAGCACATTTATTTTTAATTTCTATTATGTAAATTTTCAAACACAAAGGCAGAGAGAATGGTATATACATCTCCACATATTTATTCATCTGATTCAACATTTTGCCACTCTGATTTCATGTATCCCTTCACTATCTTTCTCCACCTGAAATATTTGAAAGCATATTTGTTTTTACATAAGCACCATGCCATGATCACACTCCACAAAAGTAACCATAATTCCCTTAATATTGTTAAATATCCAGCCCATATTCACATTTCCCTTAAGGTCTCAACCATGTCTTTTTTATGGTTAGTTTGTTTGAATGAAGATCCCCACATGATCCACATGCTGCATTTTGTTGGCGGAGTTCATTTATGTTCGCTGTTCAATACATGAAATGGTATGATCCTAGGCTGCTTTATTTGAAGGAGAAATAAATGGACTGGAGAATGTAAATGGCATCAAGCACCATAGTAAAGCAATGAATTTCTAACACTATATATTCATTCCTGTCATCTACTCAATATATCTTCGAGATCATTTCGACACCAATTCGCTCGGACACCAGTTAGTTACAATCTATCACAATAAATGGTATGTCAGTATCATATTAATTATATACCAGCTTACCTCATCCAACACGTGTCACTCCACCACTTTTAATAAATGATGCAGCAATGCCACACCAAGTATTTAGTTGGTCATTTTATGACTTCCTTAAACAACACACATTTAAGGAAATCTACATTTTCAAACTTCACACCTGTGCTGCCTTTCTCTTAGAATGCAGGCACATGTGCACAGGAGTTTTGGAGGTGCCGAGACAGAGCAGGGAGGGTGCATGGGGTTAAAAAAAATCCCTTTCCTCGGGACAATGTGGACAATTCTTCCTTAACTTCTGCTTCCAGTTTGGTTGTGGATAGAATATATTCAATAATGAAACTTAAGGAAATCAGTAAAGTTAAGCAATTTCATGTTAATAACACAGTCTATATATAGACACATATATAAACATGTATGCACATGTGTTTATAAATCTGTGTGAGCATATAGATCTGGATACACTGAATACATCTTATTAAGTACACCAGCTGAAAACTTCTATCTTTAAAAGGAAAATGAGATTTTGATTCATATATCCTGTTACAATTCTTTTTTTTCTTTTAATTTCTTTCTTCTTAAAGTTTGACTTGCCAACCAACCAGCTAAAGCATGACCTGTCCCATGGCCATGCTTCAAAGTTCCGACAGATATATTCCTCCCTAAACACTGCAACTATTTCAAAATCCTTTTTATAAAGAAGGGAGTAATGTCCACATGGGATCAAAGGGCATCGTACAGTCTGGCAATTGCCTAAGAAAAATGGCAGCACTTCCATGAAATATGCCCTAAAATAATTTTGTGGCTTGGTATGTCCTAATTTCAAATTGGATGTTTATCTTGGAAAGGCTTCTATCTAACTTGTCCATAAAACAGCCCCACTTAGCTCTAGGAGCTCTGTGAAAATGGAATCCAAAGCTGGTTATTAAGGGGGCCGAGAGATAGGTTCCATATGGCGGAACAGCATGGGAGGGCAAGGCTAAAGCCTCCATCAGGCTCAGCTTGGCTGGAGCTCCTGATCTATCCACGGACACTCGTTGCATTACACCATAACATCTGGATTATTGCTTGTAATGTCCCTGGGAAATATCCACTTTCCATCAAAGCCTTTATCTATCTCAGTCGGACTTTGAACATTTTAGTATTTAACGCAGTCGTGTTTGATGTGACTGACTTGCTCTTTGCTGTCCAAGATTTTTTTCCCCCCTTACTAAAGGCAGAGTAGGAAAAGTGAACTATTTATTGCAGAGTTCAGAGATAGACAAGCACAGAGGGCCTTTATTCTACTTCTTTTTGCCTCCATCTTTCTGCAAAAGCCGCTACAAGGTTATGTCCAAATAAAGTTTTGCCCATGAGCAACATATTCTGGGGTAGGGGAGTGATTTAAAGAAGTGTCTTAATTACTTTAACGTTTGTCTTTAGCCTTGGACAAGAGATGGGGCTTGAGAGCAGAGTCGGTGGGGGAGGGACAGGTACAGTTGGGGCCATCCTGTGTGTGCTCTGATAGAGTTGGGCTCCCCAAATCCTTTGCACTCTTCAAACAATCCCTGTCTCCTCACAATAAATCTACTCCTCTGCACTCACTCTGTTAACTCCATAGCTCAGGTTTTCATGTCTGTGCCTGAGCCTATAAGTGAAATTTGTCATCTTAATGCAGCTTGGAATGTGAAAGGAGAGAAGGAAATGACCCATCAAAGGAAAAACCCACCCCACCTGAACTGAAACAAACACCAGGAGATAGAGCAAAGTTTCTAGGTCCTGACCCTAATTTCTCAGCCGACATAAAGGATAAAATATAGTACACCAGGGTTTTGTTATTTTTCTCCTTCCTCCCAAAGGATCAGAACCTTTCACTATTGCTATGTTGTTTCATTCATAGGCGCTTTCTTCCTCAGCCCCCAATCCACCAAATCCACACCCTTTTTCTGAACAGAAATCATTACTTCCAACCAAGGCACACACATTAGTTATTACCAGTGAATACAAGGTGTAATATTTAACTTAGAAACATAAGTGACTTTTGAGGCACCTGGGTGGCTCAGTGGTTGAGCATCTGCCTTGAGCTCAGGGCATGATCCTGGATCAAGTCCTACATCAGGCTCCCCACAGGAAGTTTGCTTCTTCCTCTGCTTATGTCTCTGCCCCTCTCTCTCTGTGTCTCTCATGAATAAATAAATAAACTCTTAAAAAAAAAAAAGTTGAGGATCCCTGGGTGGCTCAGCAGTTTGGCACCTGCATTTGGCTCAGGGCATGGTCCTGGAGTCCCAGGATTGAGTCCCGCATTGGGCTCCCGGTGTGGAGCCTGCTTCTCCCTCTACCTGTATCTCTGTCCTCTCTCTCTCTCTCTCATATATAATATATATATCATGAATAAATAAATAAAATCTTTAAAAACAAAAACAAAAAAATGTACTGACTTTCATGGGTCACTTGGGTGATTCAGTTGATTAAGCATCCAACTCTTGGCTCAGGTCATGGTCTGGTCTTTCAGGGTTGTGGGATCTAGTCCTGAGTTAGGCTCCATGCTCAGTGGGGAGTCTGTTTCCTTCTCCCTCTCTCCCTCTACCCCTCATACGTTCTCTCCCTCTCTCTCTCTCTCAGATAAATAAATCCTTTAAAAAAACCATACTGACTTTCAGGAAAATGAAAAGCTTCAGCTAACAATTTACTTCTGGGTCATGACAATCCCAGGGAGAATGCAGGCAGGGTAAAAAGGGAACAAAGGTGAAGATAAGTACTGTGGAACTTTCACTCCCAACAGCAGAGAATCTTCAAGTTTGTGATATAGGAACAGACTTTCAAAACAGTGAACGGGCCATCATTCCTAGGACATATCAAATGGATTACAGCTTGGCAAGATGCTTTATTTGAGGATTCTAGCCAAGTGGCATGCTGAGAAGATGGTGATGTGGACTCCAGTCTCTTGGCATGACTGCAAAAGAAAACCCAGAAATGACAGACATGTCAGTGAGGTATCTCCTCTCTGTCATGGGCCAGGAAGAATGGCGGAGAGGTTAGGAGAGAAGAAAGATCTTGAAAGGAGTAGCATGCAGTCCAGGAGCTGAGGCCACAGCCTGTAGGCATCAAAAGCAATGTTACAGCTGGCTATGCCACACTCCAGAACAGACCATGCTGACCAATACCACAGGACGATTATCCCACAGCACTCCCCTGGGTGGGACAAAATATCAAACAAATTTTAAACAACAGAAATGAAAAGGAGGGGCAGTGAGAAAATATTTTTGTAAGACTTTTCTAGGAAGACCTACCTACTCGGTGCCAAATTACTGTGTGGGTCCTTTTTCTATGATCTCAGTTATGGGAGTATAAAAATATATATTCTGACACCACCAGCGCATCCTATTTTGACTCTAATTATTCAGTTTTCCTAAGTCATTGTGAGAAAGGAGGTGTCAATGGAAACAAATGCATGGAAAAAAATAACTTTGTAAGCTAAATGAACAATAATACGAGATTCAGCTCTGCTGGCATTGCTTAGAAAAGCTATGGGAGAATATTCAGTCTACAAAAAGGTTTCCCTGAAATATTCCTTCCAAGCTTTTTTAACATGTAAAACAACTGTTCATTGTCAACAGCTTTTATAGCATGACACGAGAAGATCCATACATTCATGCAACAGGCTCCCAGAGAAGCTCCTTCTT